GCGCGCGAGCAGGAGCGCTGCGTGCCTTGGGACGGGCCGCGCGCGAATTGCCCTCTCTTCATAGAAATGCAACCGCAGGCGAATGCGTCAAAATGCCAGAGCGCGAGGCCGGCGCGCTGCGCCAGGCAGGAAAGCCGCGCAGGTCACGGGCGCCGCCTGCGTTATCTGCAGCAGCGCCTGCCGCGCGCGCGGCCGCGGAGCGAACGGCGCGACCGCGCAAACGTTGCGAGGGCGCCGCGAATCGGGGACGTCAAGCGCTCCCCTACTTCTTGGCCCATTTCGCGGGCCGGGGCGGCGCGCGCGGCGCGTCTGGCGCCGGTCTCTTCGAGCTGCCCCACGCGCCCGTCATTCACGTAGATCGGCCCCAGCCGCCGCTGTGCCAGGACGCGCCGGAATGCGAAGAGCGCGTCTCCGCCGCGCCCGTGTTCGGCGCGGCGCGGCCACTGCCGCGGCCGTTGCCCGCGGGCGTGGCCTGGGCGGCCTGCCCCTGCGCCTGCAAACGCAACCGTCACGCGCGACGCGCGACGCCCCCGGCGCGCGCGGGCGACCTTGGCTGCGCGGTCGAACTCGTTCTCGGCAGACCGCATGGACAACGCGTCGAGCCCTTCCGAGGCCTCCTCAATATTGAACTTCTCGACGCCGCTCTGTCGCGAGCGCTCGGCCCAGCTCTTGCGGGCGATTTTGTCGTGCAGGAGCCCAAGCCCCGCCTTGCGGCCCGCGGGCGGAGCTTCCAAGGCCACCTCGCGAAAGGCAACGGGTGCGCGCGCCGCTACGTGTGCGCGCTGGCACGTCGCGGACCTCGAGCACAAATCGCTTATGCTCCAAGCAGCGTGCGTAAGATAGCTGCTTAGTGGCAGCAACCGCAATCGCCCGCGCGTCGTAGGCGAGGTGAAACTCGGCCCACGACAACGCGCGCTGACCTTTACTGCCGCACTCAGCCGTCACTCCGTCGGCGTCTGCGTCGTCGACCCCGTGGGCGCTCGCGGCCCAGTTCGGGAGAAAGCCGCGCAAATCAGAGTAAACGAAAGGATTCGCGCAGCCCCTCTTTCTCGCGCGTGCGACCTCGGCAGCCGTCCAATCGCATGTCACATGTCTCGCTCCTGTGCAAGGCAGCGACCGCTGTCACCTCCGCTGGCGCGCTCACGTGAGGGCGCGCCTCGGCCAGATCGTCTGGCTGAGGCCGTTCAACGTAATCGCCGCCAACTCAGCGCCCACGTCTACGTGGTGTACGGGGGCGGCCATTTCCACATTGGCCTCCGCCCCGATGCGAGCGCGCAGACCAGGGGGGCTCGCCGGGCGCGCTCGCGTACGCTGCCTGCTTACCCGCAGTTGTGGCGCGCTCCAGCGCGCGGCGGAGCACGCCTTTCACGCCCGCTGGCAGGCCCTCCGAGCCTGGCAGCTCTTCTAGCCGAATGTTCGCCAGCTGTGCCGGCGTCAGCAGCTTATTAGCGCCTAGGCAGTCAATCGCAGCCTGGTATTCGATGTCCGACCATTCTGCCCCGAACACGGGGTCTTGGCGCAGAAAGCTCAGCAGCGGTCCGCCCCGCCATCACGAACAAAGAAGCCAGAAAACACCAGCGTCGCACTGCTCGCACACGCGGGGATCACGCGGCACGCAGCGCACTCAACACGCGTACAGAAAGACGGCGGCGCCGGTAGCAACGCGAGCGAGGTGCCTGCAGATACCTGGTCCGCCGCTTCGCAGACGCAAAACGAACGCGCGCGCCCCGAGCGCGGGAGGGGAACGGCGGCGCCGGGAACGCAACGCGAGATGCCTGCGGAAACCTGGTCCGCTTATGGCCGTGAGCGCGGGTCGCGCGTCTTACCGAGCGGGCAGGCGCTGGCCAGCTGGTCGATCCTCGCGCTTCGTGCGCACGGCCCAAGCGGCACCGTGGCCGTCAGCTCCATCGAGGGGCTGCCTGAGGGCCCTGCGGCAGATGTGCGCCTCCGTGGCGACGATCTGCTGCGATCGCGCTGGGGGGCTGGCTGCCCCCGCCGCCCGCGCGCGCGACAGTGAGAACACACAGAAGGGCCAATGTGACACGTCTCGCGACATGAGGCGGGCTGCGTTGACGGCACCTCGTCGTCAGACGACATCGCTACACGGCGTACTTAGTAGCCCGCGCAACGACTCTTATGCGGCCTCCAGTTGCGGGAGGGAGCGCGCAAACCCACACTGGGGCGACACGCGCGGCGCGAGCGCGCGCGTTTGTTAAAAGCGTTGTGGTCGCGTGCGCCGCCCTAGGCGCCCGCGACCCGCGCTGGCGGGCGCGCTCGCAGCTTTACCCGGCGGAAGTGCGCTTCATCGCCGCTGTCTGGATTGTCCATTAGACGGTAGCGTATCACGGGCGCAGAGACGATCTGGGGCTTAGCGTAGCCCATTATGATATGGCAGACGTCGCGCGGCAAACGCGGTGCGCATTGGGCCAGGGCGAAGCGCAGTTCAGCCCGCACTTGCTCCAGCCTTACTAACCGAGGGCCGACTGCTCCGAGTCGGACTGGCGACCAGCAGCTCTCGTTGGCAGGTGGTGCTGGCATTGCTAGGGGCGGGCCCCTTGGCGCTCGCCCCTGCAGCCTGGGGCCCGCCCCCTTAACCAGCAGGTAGCGAAGCCGCTCGCGCGCCTGCGACAACACTGTGTCTGCGTACGCGACCCGCGCGCGGGATGCGGTGCGCGCCAAGGGGCCCCTTTCTGTTTTCGCCTCGAACGGCGCGAGCGCCGCCTGCGCAGCCTGCTCCGCCATCGCAAGCAAGCAGAAGCCGCTGACTTCACTCGACATTCGGAACCGCTGCGAACCTGCGGCAGCCGGAGCAAAAACCGTCGACCGACGGCGGGAGTTCGCTGCCTTTGCGCTGCGAGTCTGGCGCGCTGCGAGTCTCGCGCTCGACTGTTCACTGGGAATGCGAAAGAAACGTTTGCAACGATTGGCCACTATGGGCCTCCAAGCGAGACGCGCGGGTCTGCTGGCAGTCAGGCAAGCCGCAGCGGCCGCCCAATCGAAGATTGGCCGCTCTAGGGCCGCCAGACATGCGGGCTGGCATCGGCTGCCCTGCTACTGAATGGCCACTCTGGGCCGCCAGACGAGGGTCGCTCTGGACCCGCGAGGGGGAACCCTATGGGTACGTAGGTCACACTGGGCCGACGTAAGAGGCCACTCTGGGCTTGATGGCAATGCCGTGACCCCTCAGGGCCGTGAAACAGACTCCGCCAGGGTGGAGAAACAACGCGTGGGTCACCAAGGACCAGCGGTGCTGGCCCGAGGTGAACCAAGGGACACAGGACCCGCAGGGAAAAGCCCTAGACAACGACACCCACGAGGGGCCACACTGGGCCAGAAAAGAAGCGCGACCGCGGTCGCGTCCGACGCACCCTGGCGAACGGACGCCCCGCGCGTCGCCCCCAGGGTTGGTCCAGAGCCGCACACTGGCAGACAGAGGACCACACCCTGGCCAGCCGCCCCACCTTAAGAGTGCACGCTAGGCAGGTGGGGCGCTGCAGACATGACCGGGTGCTTGATATCCCGCCCCGCGGCCAGGCGGCAAAAAGGAGACAACACGACCGTGCACGGAAGAGCGGATGGAGGAAGGACCCCGACGCACGGCCGCGCGGGACGCCAGCATGCCCGCGCGGGGCCTGGCCCGCCCGACGTAGCGGCGGCGCGTGGCGGGTGGACATGCGGGCGCCCGCCATCGCGCGGTGCGCCGACGGAGGGACACTCCCGCCTGGGGGCGTCGACTTATGACTTGCAATAACAAGTTATTACTGCCCCTCAAGCCTCGGCGCCGCGCACATTCTTGATACAACATTGCAAGAGTGTCACGGCTTCACATGATCAACGTACCAGAAATGGTGTTTTGGAGAGATTCAGGATTACGCGGGTGCAGCAATGATGTTGATTCGCGGTGTTGACGTCCCAAGAATGGCGTTTTGGCGCGATTCCGGATCGCCAAGACGCAACAGTCAGATTGATACTTGGCGTTGAGATCCCGAAAACAATGTTTTGGCGAGCTTCAAGATTTTCAAAACGTTGTTCCCTCAATAAATCCCATCCTCATCCTCCTCCTCATCCTCATCATCGTCGTCATCATCAGCATCACCATTGCCATCACCATCATCATCATCATCACCATAATCATCATCACCACCATCATCATCACCATCATCATCAACATCATCATCAGCATCATCATCATCGTCATCATCACCATCGTCATCATCATCAGCATTATCATCCTATTATTCCTTGCTCCTCCTCCTCCTGCTCTTCCTCCTCCTCCTACTCCTCCTCCGCACCACCACCACCATCATCATCGCCATCACCATCAGCATCACCATCACCAGCATCAGCATCAGCAGCATCATCATCATCAACATCCTCATCCTCGTCCTCGTCCTCATCCTCGTCCTCATGATCGTTCTCATCCTCCTCCTCCCTCCTCCCTCCTCATCCTGCTCTTCCTGCTGCTCCTCCTCCTCCTCCTCAGCCCCCTCCTCCTCCTCCTCCCCATCCTCTCCATACTCCCTCCTCCCTCCTTCCTCCTCCTTCCTCACTCCGCCCTCCTCCCTCCCTTTCCTCCCTTTCCTCCCGCCTCCTCCCTCCCTCCTCCCGTTAGTCGTACGTTGTCCGTTGTCGGCGTCGAGGTCGTCATCGTGGTCGTCGTCGTGTCAACCACTAGCATCTGGAGCGCCTCGGATCGGCGGCACTGGCCGGAGGCCATTCAATAGCAATGATTGCATCCGATGCGCAGTTGGACATACATGAAGCGTCTGGCGTGATTGTACAATCTGCAATAGCCGAAGGTTCTGTAAGTAATATCGTATCAGACTTGGTGCGCCAGCCATCCCCAAATGTCACTCCTATATCGCTCATTGATGAACCGTTCGCGCAAGTTCCGGGAGGAGCCTCGGCGTTGGTTCAACCAATAATTCAAGACGTGAACATCGAACGTAACCTCTCTCAGCCATCATGGATTCCGGCGACAAGTTCAGAGTTTTCTTCAACCTAAGGAAGAAGACACGCAACAATGACTTCGATGGAGCACATGAGAGATGCTACCGGGGAAACCCGGGGGCCGAGGCGACTTAAAGTACCAGGCGACATCAGCATGGAACAATATTCGCCTATGCAGAATTCCAACTTAATTGGAAACTTAGCAGAAACTAAAACTTGTCCCGTGATACAGGAAGTTGAGGGGGCACCTGATGAACCCATGTCACCACCTTCGAATGCTAGGCGCGAGACTCTCAATTCCCCGTTGATGTCTAGATTTCGAGGATGGTCGACGAGCTGTCAGGATTCCGATGACTCGTCGTCGGGTCGTATCTCGATCAAGGTAGGTTGTTGGGCACAGGGGTCACGATGCCCGGCCGCGGCAGAAAACAGGCGCCCAGGAAAAACATTGAAAAAATGATGGTCCGTGCCCTCGCCCAGCGTCAATTGGCTTGCTCAGATTGCATTGACATGATGGAACATCAATGCTAACGTCTTGCCTTCGTCGCTTAGCAACAATCAGCGATCATATGATTGCTCATATGCAGGAGCTCCATCGGCAAAAGGGCGAACACATTTGGCATATACAAAAGGACATTTCAAAACATTTACAGTTTGCACAGCAGACGCACCTAAGCCACCAGGCGACATCGGAGGCAGCTCAGCTGTCTCTGATGGAAGCGGAGCATAGCAACAAAAAGAAATATAAACATCCTGGCGAGGGACCCAGCCATATGCAGTTGTGAGTAGCACAGTTGTGAGAACCGTATTCGGTGGAGCTCCGTATGGGGCCACGAAACGTGTGAGGAGTGGGCCCAAACGGAGGTCACGCCCACATGTGAGCACTGCCACTGGGGCCTTAGGTGGAGCCCCCTATGGGGCCACGAAACACGTCAAGGGTGTGCCGAAACGGCGGTGACGCCCACGTCTGAACACTGCCATTGGCGTCTTCGGTGGTGGAACTCCCTATGGGGCCACGAAACGTCTGAGAGGTGTACCGAAACGGAGGTGACGCACACATGCCAACTGCACGAGTGGGGCCTTTAGGCGGGGCTCTCTATGGGGCAGCGGCCCGTGTGAGGGGTGTGCCGAAACGGGGGCGACGCCCACATGCGAACTGTACCACATGGGCCTTGGGTGGGGCTCCCTATTGTGCCACGAAGCGTGTGGAGGGTGCGCCGAAACGGGGCGACGCCCACATGCGAACTGTGAGGCATCAGGAAGGGATCCCTGCGGCCACGGAACGTGTGAAGGGTGTGCCAGAATGGGGCGGCGCCGCCATGCGGACCGTGCCACTGGGGCATTCGGTGAAGCTCCCAGTGGGGCCACGAAACGTGTGCGGGGCGTGCTGAAATCGGGGGCGGCGGCGCCATCCGAACTGCGACACTGGGGCCTTAGGTGGAGCTCCCCATGTGGCCACGTTGCGTGTGAAGGGTGTCCCAAAATGGGGCAGCGGCGCCATGCGAGTTCTGCCACTGGGACCTTAGGTGGAGCAACATATGGCCGCACATGGCCACGACGCGCGAGGGGCGTGCCAGAATGGGGCGGCGCCGCCATGCGGAGATCGCCACTGTGACCTTAGGTTGGGCTTCCTTTGTTGCCACGGAGCGTGTGAGGGGTGTGGCAGAAAAAAACGACAAGCCAATGCGGACTGCGCCACTGGGACCTTCGGAGGAGCTCCCCATGGGACCACGAAGCGTGTGAGGGGTGCGCCAAACTGGGAAGCAGCGCCGCCATGCGAACTGCGCCACTGGGGCCTTCCGTGGAGCTCCCTATGGGGCCACGAAACGTGTGAGTGGTGTGCCAAAATGGGGCGGCGGCGCCATGCGAGCTGCGCCACTGGGACCTTGGGTGAGGCTCCCTAGGGGCCACGCAACGTGAGAAAGGTGTGCCATTGGGACCTTAGTTGGTGGTCCCTGTGGGGCCGCCACGCCAACATGGGGCGGCGGCGCCATGCGAACTGCGCCACTGGGACATTAGGAACAGCTCCCCATGTGGCCACGAAGCGTGTGAAGGGTGCCCCAAAATGGGGCAGCGGCGCCATGCGAGTTCCGCCACTGGGACCTTAGGTGTAGCCACCTGTGGCCCCATGGGGCCACGAAGCGCGTGAGGGGCGTGCCAGAATGGGGCGGCGCCGCCATGCGAACCCTGCCACTGGGGCATTCGGTGGAGCGCCCATGGGACCACGAAGCGTGTGCGGGGCGAGCTAAAATAGGGGGCGGCGGCGCCATGCGAACTGCGACGCTGGGGCGTTAGGCGGAGCTCCCCATGTGGCCACGAAGCGAGTGAAGGGTGCCCCAGAATGGGGCGGCGGCGCCATGCGAGCTGCGCCACTGGGGCCTTGGGTGGGGTTCCCTAAAGGCCACGAAACGTGAGAAAGGTGTGCCAAAATGGTGCGGCGGCGCCATGCGAGCTGCGCCGCTGTGGCCTTAGGTGGAGCTCCCCATGGGGCCACGAAGCGTGTGAATGGTGTGCCAAAATGGGGCGGCGGCGCCATGCGACCCCCGCCCCCTCCTTTTACTTTTGCTCTTCTTCCTCTTCTTCCTCTTCTTCCTCTTTTCCCTCTTCTTCCTGTTCTTCCTCCTCCTCCTCCTCCTCCTCCTCCTCCTCCTCCTCCTCCTCCCCCCCTCATCTTCATCTTCTTCTTCGTCCTCCTCCTCTTCCTCCACCTCCTCCTCCTCCCCCCCTCCTCCTCCGCATGCCCGTTGTCACTCTGCCACCACATCGCCGCCACCATCACCAGCATAACCATAATCATAACCCTCCTTCGTTTCCCCCTCCTCCTCCCCCTGATCCTCATCGTGTCTCTCCTCCTGGACCTTCGCCTCCTGCTGGTCCACCTCATTCTCCCCCCCCTGGGCCTCTACGTTTTTCCCCTCCTCTGGGCATGCACCTCCTCCTCCTCCTCCTCCTGCTTCTCGAATGTGCACTGTCAACTGAGCTCCGCGAGCATTTCACAACATATTAGATCGAAGCGGTCGCCAAGCTAACAGACCAGGTCCTGGTCTTCGGTTTTCAATTTCATCCAAGTTTTGATATCGTCTCCTGCGTTGTTCCGTTAAATTCTATATAGGTATTATTAAGTCGGGTGCTCGTTGGGGACCCAGCGCCTCTAGGAGTCCTTGGGGACCTGGTGGCTAGAGCAGTTGGCGACTCGACGATGACATGCTCCACTGTCGGCGGGTGCATCGTGAGCCGCCGCGCAGTGCGCGGAGCGGAGCGGAACGGAGGGGAAGCACCGGTTCCGGGCACCGGGGGTGCCCGTGCCCTTTGGGCAAGGCGCAAGAGGCCGTAGCCTCAGACCGTGTGGGTGCTGAAACTCTGGATGACATGGTTCACGAACCGGAACAAATAGAGAGTGTGGTCGGCATAGGACAGCAACCAGCACAAATATAATATGTGGACGAAGTAGTACACGAGCCGGCGCAAATAGAAGACAGGGAAGACGGAGTTCAGGATTGTGTTTGTGGTCGGTGGTGTTTGTTTGTGGTCAGTGCTGGTGGTCGATTCCTGTGTTCTGTCAGTGCTGTTGGTCGGTGCCACGTGCTGGTGGTCAGTGTTGGTTCGTGGTGGTCGATGCTGGTGTTCGGTGGCGTTTGGTGCTGGTGGCGCTGCTGGTCGTTGGTTGGTGTCGGTGGTCGGAGCTGGAGACGGTGCTGTCGGTGCTTTGCTGCTGCTGCTGTTGGTGTGGTCGGTGCTTGTACTGGCGTTGCTGGTGCCGCTGTTTGGTCATGTTGGGGACACACCAGTGCAACTTGTGTGTTGTCACGAGGTGGCGTGCACACGTCTTGCGGGATCGCCCTGCCGATTCCCGCGGGAGGGTGTACCGTTTCAGGTGGGTGGTCCAGTGGCCGATGCACTCATCATGTTTGTTCGTGTTGGCTCCGTCTGTGCAGGATAGGCCGGTATATCCAAAACGTTGGCATTACAGTTGTACCATCAAGCCCCGCACGCGCGGAAAGGGGCTGCGTAAGCTAGGAGTCAGCGCCCCAATTTCCGCCCCTCTTTACAATGCTTCTGTCTTGTCCCCCGGCGCTTATCCCACTAAGTGGGATTGCTCTCCTGTGTGCGTGATGTCTGACATGACGACTTGTGGCTGCTGCTGTTGGGCGGTTTGCACAGTCAACTGGTGTATGCAAGGAAGCTGCTTTCAAGTGTGTCCGACCACGTTGTCTCCGTTGCGGCCGTCAACCATCTTATGTCGTTGCTCTCGTAGTGGATATACTGCCGTGGGCGAGTGGTTTCGTCGGTGTTGCCTTGTGTGGCTGCGTCACTGGTGGTCCGGTGCAAACTTTTGAGACATTTTCGAATATCGTCGTCCCACCGCTTTTGTTGACCACCATGTTTCCGATGGCCCTGCTGACTCTCGTCAAGAGACGGGTTCCAGTTCATTGCTCGTTGTGTCCATCGGTTCGGTGGGTGATGTGCTACTCGTGCGGCCCAGCGCCAGACCTTTTTTTCTGTGTGTTTGCTCCACGCCAGGGACGTCGTGCAGGCTCATTAGCTCTTCGGCTCTGCGCGTGCTACGACGGATGAAATCGGACCACAGCTCGCTGTCGTCCGTCGTCTGGTCGTCGCTAGTGTCTTCACGCGGAATAGGCGGGTTGCTGGATGCGTCGTGGTCGCTGGAATCGTTGGGATCGTCTCTGCTGGGGTCGTGTTCGTTGTGGGTGTCCGTGGGCGGGGTGGGGTGTGTTGACGTGCAAGTGTTCGTGCGCCTTCTCGGTGTTCCGATGATCGCCCTGACCATTCGTCGTTGTGTGCGGCGTAGCTGTTGCCTGAGAGGCTCTGTTAAGGTCCACGTCTCTGCGCCGTACGTCAAGGTGGGTATTACAGTGCCACGGTAGAGTCGCAGCCTGTGCTGGGGTGGGTAATGTTTGCTCGTGAGCTCTTGTCTGTGCCCTGTGAAGCATGCCCACGCAGCCTGTATGCGGCTTTGGATCTCTGTAGCCGAAGCGTCCTGGAACGTGATCGTCTGGCCGAGGTGCGCCAGCTTGCCGGTGCACGGGGCAACTTCGATGTCGATGTTTGCAATCGTGGCCTTGCGCGTTCGAATCCTTGGTTGGTTTGTCATGATCTTCGTCTTGGTCGGGTGTATTTCGAGGCCGTGGGGTTTTGCTGCTGTGATTATGTCGGTGACTAGCGTCTTCAGATTGGAAAGCGTCTGGCTCGCCGAAAGGATGTCGTCGGCGAAGCGGAGGTCCGTGAGCATAGATTCGTCGGTGTGTGCCAATTGGACTCCACGTCGTCGTCGCCGACATTCCGGGATGAGAGGCGCTAGCACATGTTGTAAAAGAGCGTTGAACAGCAAAGAGCTCAGAAAATCTCCCTGCGTGCCGCGTCGGAGCTTGAAGGGCCTGCCAGTGGAGTCGGTACGGATGACGGCCTCCTGGTCGCGGTAAAGGCGCTGGAGTAGGTGGGCGCATTCGGGCGCCACCCCCTGTCGACGTAGTGCTGTCCATAAGCTGCCGTGCTCCACTGTGTCGAACGCCTTTTTGAAGTCTACGGCGGCGATCCACAAAGCTTGGTTCCATTCGGAAGCCCGTTCCCGCAGTGTGTTAGGGGTGAGAAGGTGGTCGGTCGTGCCGCGCCCAGGTCTGAAGCCCGCTTGGTCGTCGGGTTGTTGCTGCTCTAGTATTGGTGATAGTCGGTTGTACAGAAGACGACTTAACAGCTTGTATAGCATGGGTATCGTACATGTCGGGCGGTAGTTTTGTGGAAGTGTCAGATCGCCCGATTTGGGAATGACTTTGATCACCGTCTTCCGCCAACTTGATGGTGTCGGAGCGCTTGGTTGTATGACCACGTCGTATAGCTGCAACAGTGCACGTTGAAGCTCCGGGCACGGTGTTTTGAACTTTTCGGCCTTTCTCCCAACACCGTCGGGTGACTTTCCCGGCTTGAGTTGTGATATTGCTGTCTCGGGTTCTTGAGGCGTGAAGGCTGGGGTGCTGTGCTCGGAGTCGTCTGCGGTTGGTGGTGCGTCGTGGGCGTCTGTGGAATTGTACAGTTCCTCGTAGAAGGTCGCGAATGCAGTAGCGATCCCTTGGCGGGCGGTGTGCTTGATGCCGTCTTTGTCGAACATCTCCGTGATTAGCGTCCGCTTTCCCCTCGTTTTGACTGAGCTGATACGTTTGAGGTCCTTGTGTTGCTCCAGGATGGTGCTTGCGTGCTGTCGTCGTTTGGTGCGCTTCTGCTCCCGGATGTGCTTTTGTATTGTTTTACTGATCGCTCGTCTTCTGCCTGCGTCTGCTCTGGGAATGCCCCTGCGTTGGTTCACGAGGTGGTAAATAGTGTCGTCGCTGTTGCTGCTGGGTTCGTCAGGTTGTGTCTCTCTGGCGGTCGCGCTCTGCAGCTTGATGTCGTTCGTGCTCTTCTCGATTGTATCCGCGAGCTCGTCCGGATCAGCTGGTAGATGTTCGCGCTGTAGTTTGGAGCCCAATGCCTGTTGGCATTCGTCGCAATCGGCGCGTCCTCGAGGCCAGTGCGCGGAGTGTCTGGTCGGTCGTGGGCGTTTGGACTGGTTGTCTGTCTTGGGCCCCCAAGTGCTGAGACACATTTGTACGGGCGCGGCTTTGTGGTCCGAGTTGAGATCAATGATGTTGCTGGCTTCGGAATTTCTGCGCGAGAGTAGCAAACATCTGCCTACCAGTATGTAATCGTATTGTCGTGGCTTGCCGCCTTTCGTCGCGTAGGTGATCAGCTTGCCCAGAGGCTTGCGGAAGAACGTGTTCACGATTGCCAGCCTCTCTAAGGTAGCCCAATGGCGTAACCATTGGCCTCGGGAATTTTCGTCGCCGAATCCGTGGGGGCCCACGTAGCGAGAACACATGTCGGAACGGATATCCTCAGAGCCGGCGTCTTCGCGAAGAAGTTCACTCGGAAGGCGTGGTTTGGAGCCGCCTTGAGCGTTGAAGTCGGCCGCGAGAACTGTGCGGATCCGTCGGGAACGTGCCTCTTTGAGTCAAGCGCTGACGATGTCGCACAACTGCTGCAGGTGGATGTCCATGTACCCTGTGTGGGGGAACTATGCCGATATAAGTTGTAATATGGTTTTGCCCTTCTTGATTGTGAGCGTAGCAATCCTCGCGGAGATAGCCTGGAACTCTGCAACGTGTTTGCCCCAACGTTTATGCAGAAGGATTGCGACTCCGTGCGAACGGCTGTCATTGCCAGACCCCGCAAAAGTATGCCCGTCTGAAGTGATCCACAATTATTGTCGCGTCGTCCGCCACGTCTCACTGAGCAGAACTGCATCCCAATGCGCATTACGTAAATCATATAATAAGTCGTCAATCCGGTCATCTGTCTCCAAGGATCTCGCGTTTTTGTGAATGACTGTGAAATCGATGTTAGTGTCGTGGCTGGTGTCCCCGATGGCTTCGCTGGTTTGGCCGCTGGTCTGTCCAGTCTGGGAGGAGGCGGTCGGAGGGGAGGGCTGGGCAGGGCAGGAATGAAAGCCGTCGCCTGCAATGGTGCTTTCTGTTCGCCCTCCGCAGGGGCCGCGACAGGGTGGTCGGAGTCGCAAGGATGCAACGGGGAAGTCGCTTGCTACTTCGCTGTACTTTCCTCTTCCTCCTCCCCCGGTGATTAGGTTGGCCGGTGCTGCTGGTTGGCGGTGGTCGGTCTGGCTTTCTGCGGACGTCGTTTTTGGTGAACAGTGCAGGTCGCTGCTAGTCGGGTTTAGGCTGTCTGGTGGTTGGTGGACTGTGGAGGTCCCTGCTGAAGGTCGTTGCTGATCATTGTTGGCGTACTCTGCTCGTCCACCATAGTTGTGGCGCGGCGGTCGAAATCGCAAGGATGCGACGGGGAAGTCGCTTGCTACTTCACTGTGCTTTCCTCGTCCTCCTCCTCCTGTGTGTGTTGGTAGTGGGGTGTGCAGGTCGGTGTTTGGGTTGGTTGGTGCTGCTGGTCGGTGGTCGGTTTGATTGTTCGTGAGCGTCATCGCTGAGGGTCCGTGGAGGTTTTTGCTGGTCGGTGTTGGTCGTGGTCGGGACTGCTGGTCGTTAGTTGGGCTGTTCGGCTGGTCGTTGATTGTTGCCGGCTGTCTGCCGGGGTCGCTGTTGATCACTGCTGGTTGGTCTGATGGTCGGTGTTGGTGTTCGGTGGTTGATTTAGTCGGCTGGTCGCTGGTCGGCGCTGGTTGTCTGGTGAAGTCGCTGTTGGTGGTCTGTGGAGGTCGCTGCTGGTTGGCGCTGCTGGAGTGCGGAGGTTGCTGCTGGTCGGTGCTGGCGCGTCGGTTGGCGCTAGGTTCGCCAGGCCGTGGATGGTCCAATTTTCGAAGCTGTCGTTCACGAACATGGCCGGGACGTGGTCGGAGAGGGGCGTCTTCCGGCGAGTCGACGTTGCCAGACTCCGTTGTTCTACCACTGGAGGTTTCCAAGCTGGATTCAGGTCGTCGCGCATCGCCGGTGCAGGATGCACAGCGGCACGTCGCCATATACATCGCTGTAGGCACGGCTTCCTCCTCCTCTTCCTCTTGCTGGCGGGGGCTGGTAGTCGATAAAGGGAGGTGGAGGTGGAAGGTCGGATGCTGGAGGTTGGAGGTCGGAGTGCTGAGCAAGTGGGACCTGGAGGTCGATAGGTAGAGTTGTTGTTGGACTCTCGGATGCTGGAGGCTGGATGTCAGAGTGCTCAGCTGGTGGACGCTCGGAGTCGACAGGTGGAAGCGGAGGTGGAAAGTCGGGCTCTGGAGGCTTGTTGTCGGAGTGCTGAATGGGTGGGAGCTGGAGGTCGAGACGTGGAGGTGGACGTGAGGAGCTGAATGCTGTTGGGCGGAGGTCGGAGTGCTGAGCTGGTGGAGGTTGGAAGTCGATAGGCGGAGGTTGCAATGAAAAATCGGATGCTGGAGGGCGGGGGTCGGAGTGCTGAGCTGGTGAAAGCTGAAGGTCGAATGGTGGAGGTGGAGGTGGAGAGTCACATGTTGCTGGAGGGTGGAGGTCGGAGTGCTGCGCTGCTGGGCGCTGGAGGTCGATAGGTGGAGGTGGAGGTGGAAAGTCGGTTGCTGGAGGGTGGAGGTCGGAGTGCTGAGCTGCTAGACGCTGGAAGTCGATGGATGGCGGTGGATGTCGAAAATCACATGCTGCTGCAGGGTTGAGGTCCGAGTGCTGCGCTGCTGAACTCTGAAGGTCGACAGGAAGAGGTGGAGGTGGAGAAGTCGGATGCAGGAGGGAGGAATTCGAAGTGCTGAGCTGCTGGACGCTGGAGGTTGATGGGTGGAGGTGAAGGTGGAGAGTCACATGCTGCTGGACGGTGGAGGTCGGAGTGCTGTGCTGCTGGGCGCTGGAGTTCAACAGGTGGAGGTGGATGTGGAAGTCGGATGCTGGAAGGTGGAGGTCGGAATGCTGAGCTGCTGGGCGCTGGAGGTTGATGGGTGGAGGTGACGGTGGAAAGTCACGCGCCGCTGGGCGGCGGAGGTCGAAGTGCTGCGGTGCTGGGCGCTGGAGGTCGATAAGTGGAAGCGGAGGTGGAAAGTCGGATGCTGGAGGGTGGAGGTCGGAATGCTGAGCTGCTAGACGCTGGAAGTCGATGGATGGAGGTGGATGTGGAAAACCACATGCTGCTGAAGGGTTGAGGTCGGAGTGCTGCGCTGCTGAACTCTGAAGGTCGACAGGTAGAGGTGGAGGTGGAAAGTCGGATGCAGGAGGATGGATGTCGGAGTGCTGAGCTGCTGGACGCTGGAGGTCGATGGGTGGAGGTGAAGGTGGATAGTCACATGCTGCTGGGCGGTGGACGTCGGAGTGCCGTGCTGCTGGACGCTGGAAAACAACTGGTGGAGGTGGAGGTGGGAAGTCGGATGCTGGAGGGTGGGGGTCGGAGTGCTGAGCTGCTGGACGCTGGAGGTCGATGGGTGGAGGTGAAGGTGGATAGTCGCATGCTGCTGGGCGGTGGACGTCGGAGTGCTGTGCTGCTGGACGCTGGAAGTCAACTGGTGGAGGTGGGGGTGGGGGGTCGGATGCTGGAGGGTGGAGGTCGAAGTGCTGCGGTGCTGGGCGCTGGAGGTCGATAAGTGGAAGTGGAGGTGGAAAGTCGGATGCTGGAGGGTGGAGGTCGGAATGCTGAGCTGCTAGACGCTGGAAGTCGATGGATGGAGGTGGATGTGGAAAATCACATGCTGCTGAAGGGTTGAAGTCGGAGTGCTGCGCTGCTGGACTCTGAAGGTCGACAGGTAGAGGTGGAGGTGGAAAGTCGGATGCAGGAGGGTGGATGTCGGAGTGCTGAGCTGCTGGACGCTGGAGGTCGATGGGTGGAAGTGAAGGTGGATAGTCACATGCTGCTGGGCGGTGGACGTCGGAGTGCTGTGCTGCTGGACGCTGGAAGTCAACTGGTGGAGGTGGAGGTGGGAAGTCGGATGCTGGAGGGTGGAGGTCGGAGTGCTGAGCTGCTGGGCGCTGGAGGTCGATGGGTGGAGGTGAAGGTGGAAAGTCACGCGCTGCTGGGCGGTGGAGGTCGGAGTGCTGCGCTGCTGGGCGCTGGAGGTCGATGGGTGGAGGTGGGGGTGGAGAGTCACATGCTGCCGGAGGGTGGAGGTCGGAATGCTGAGCTGCTGAACGCTGGAGGCTGGAGGTCGATAGGTGGAGGTGGAGGTGGAGAGTCGATTGCTTGAAACTGGATGTCGGAGTGCTGAACCGGAAGTAGAGGTGAGATGCCGAAGTCCGTGGGTAGAGGCAGGGTTCGGGCATCAACGTCTCGCCAAAGTGGTCGTACCCTCTGGACTCCTGTGCAGTGGGTGGGACGGTTGCCGGACATCTTCGGGCAATGTCGTTCCCAATGTGTCTCCGGCCGTTGTCGGAGATGTGGTAATACTCCGGGCGTTCGGCTGCATGGCCGTGATCATGGGAGGGCCCGTCGTAGAGAAAATAATGTTGAGGATAAGGTTCAGGAGGATCAAACACTTCTGGAACCAAGGCGGTGGATATCCCAAAGTCCGTCCTGGAAGAGGCGGTCGCTGGGGTACTGTCAGAAGCGGTAACTTTGCCCAAACCCACAGTAACACCGAAGGCGGGGTTGGAATTGGGACAGGGGTCGGCGATGGTGTTGGAGTCGGCGATGGTGTTGGAGTTGGGAGTGGAGTGGAGGATAATATGGAGGCCTGTCGCCATCCGTGGTGGGGCAGCTGTCGTCATAGATGTCCTGTCGGAATGTAGTCGGTCCTCTTGAGCAGTCCGTGGTTTGAAGGCCGGTGGATCGTCGAGTGCAGCATGACCTGTTGACGTCGAAGCTCCGTCGCGGCTCCCGAAGGATATAATAGTTCCTGTAGGTAGTTCGTCATAAACACATAAATGCATCTCCCCCCCATCCTCCCTCGATTTTGTCCGCGGGTCTGGAGTCCGCGACGGAAAGACAATTAATACTGTAGGCGTCGAGCTTGTGCGGGTATGCTGTGAAACTGCAAGATTCGCTCGGTAGTTGTGGCGTCACTCGTTTTCCGAAACTGGACCGGGTTTTACCTTCTCCCGCCACTTCTGCATTGATTCTTACACTTCGGCTTCAACCAGCTTCCCGGTCTTAGTCGTGTGCCGATTCCCGTCGCCGTCGTGCCATCCTATCTTTTTCTCTCCCCCCATCCCGTCCTTCACCACAACCGTACTTTTCGACCGAATGATCTTTATGTCTGCGTCGCGATGTTGCGGGTGCTGGGCCAAATGGTGTTTCGCATAGCCTAGTCGTTTTTCTCGTTCCATTTCCTCTTTGGTCAGGTTGTTCCGGAAGAAAATCTCTCCCAGCGCCTTCTCGTCGCCATTGAGGGCGTCGCGTACTTTTTTTCCAAAATCTGACCTTCGACTGGGTAGAGGGGAACTCGACGACGCCGAACCTCGTTGAGCCAGTTGTCAGCACTGATGCGTCCGACTGCTCGCCCAAGAGTTGTTGTAATACCTTTTTATTTTCAAGTCTTTATCACTTTTTCAGCGGAGTCGCCCCCGTCGAACCCAAAAGCAATTACCTGTTTGGCACGTGTTTCTTTTTCCGTACTGTCTTGCCTCCTTCCTCCTGGTCCGTCCACTTCTGCGCACAGGCCCTGGGAGGTTGCCTCATGGTGCCCCTCGCGCCCTGAAGTTTGCTGTCTATGATCTCCTCGATTTCGGTCTTGGTCAAGTACATCTCCTCAGGATCGTTCCGAATACCCTCCACGTTCATCTCTACCTCTTCCATCTTGTCCTGAACCTCCTCCGCTGCTCTCCTTGCGTCCTGTGCTTCGATCCTCGCCTGGTCGATCATGTGTTTGACTCCGTTCAGGTCGGTCGTGATACCGTCGATTTGTTTCGATATGCGGGCGTCCACATCCATAAACCATTGTGGAGGAGCCTCCGCGGCCACGATCTTGTCATTCGAGCCCCGTGCTGACATTGCCATTTCTCCATATTCCTCCTCCTCCTCCTTCTTCTTCTGCTTCACTGGTGTGGACCCGGTATTGCCACCGGCGCGCTTGCCCCTATCTGCCATCCCTGCCCAGAACGGTGCAACAAGCTGTAGAGAGATGGTGAGTAGGATGTCGGAGTGGTAGTGTTACTAGGATGAGGGAAAGCTTGATAGGGAAAGCTTGAGCCAAAATGGCTACGGAGGGGCTGAAGGACCACGCCTTGGCAAATGGCCTATGCCTCCTCGCCGTAGTGCGAAGCCTAGCCTCGAAATGTTGGGCTGGGGACCCCTTCAAACCCAGCCGCCGTGCACTCAGTAAAGATATAAAGGCATCGCAGCGTTCAGCACGAAGAATAATGATCTCAGGCGGTGCAGGGAAGAGAAGGAGGAGGAGGGAGAACCAGAAAGGCTGCCCAGAGGGTTCACGTGAACTCAACATACGATTCTGCAACCACCCTTGAATCAACTGTTTGAACTGGGGCCAGCAACTGGTGCCAGGATCCCAATCTCTCCCAAAGAGACGCTTTTGTTCAACGAGGTGTTCACTGGCGGCTCCTGTTTAGAACCAGGGGGGCACCAATGCTTTAAGTTTGCTGGTTGGCCCATTGCCTCATGTAGTTCACATGGGGAACTATGTGCTTAAATGATAGGGCGCGTGGGTAACCTCCTGCCCCATCCTCCCCCGCTGCCGAGCAGCGTGTTGTGCCTGCTGCTGGTCGCCATGCCCATCCCCACGCTCAAATGTTTGTAGATGCTCAAAGTGCCGTTGACGTCCACAAGAAGACAAGTTTTTCTCGGACTGAAGTCTACTGGGTCTTAGGTGCTCGCTGGGGCCGCTCAGGCTCCTATTGGCCCCAGGGCAGACAAAATCAAACGCACGGTGACACACACTCGATACCACAATATGATGGACAATTGAGTCCAACTAAAGGCAACGATGTCGACCGTCTCGTCAAGATGGCTGCTGGGAGGGTCCACAGACCCAACACCACTGAGGGAGAGCAACAGACTGCAGAGGTCAAGTTTCTATACACATATGTTCAGTGTGTGTCGGAGGCACTCCAACTCTGGCCCACGATTGCCCCGCGTGCTGGTTCCAAGAGGCTCCCGAGCCCAGAAAGACTTTTGAATCCGCCCACGTGAGCGGCTGCAGCTGGGCCCTCCTGGGGACTCGAACCTCCTCCGCCTCCGTTCCCTCCTCCTCTGGCTCTCTGGCTCCTGGAGACGAGATCTGGACCAGGAGGGCCCATCGGTGACACACATGGGGCAAGGGATGGCTCAGTGCTGCATGCAGACAGCGCTGCGGCAGCGAAGCTGGCGTAGCACGCAGAACCAACAAGCATTGCCCAGGTTCCTGCGCCCACCACTCTGAGCTGCTGGCCAATCCCAGAGGTCATTCTCCATCTTTCTACGGACATGCGGACGAGACGATCCCTTCGAGTATCATACTTTGCATGAAGTGCAATTGTTTATCAGGAGGAGCCCGAGGAGTTCAAAGCAAGTGCCCAGATCGCCCCCCAATCACGAACGCATGTTGCAACAACAACGTGCCAGAAACGGGAGGCATCCGAAGGGTTCCGCTGGTCCACCCACTGTTTTGAAATCTCCCATCCCACTGGCTCAGAATAGCAGGGAACTGGAGCAGCAGCCGGAGCCAGCCGACCTCACTTGAAGCTAAACCGAACTCGCCAGTTGTACGCCATCGCCTACGTCTTGCTGCAGGCGGGGTCCGAGCCCATCGAACTCTTCAGTCTGAGCATTGGTCCTCCTCCTCCTCCTCCTCCTCCTCCTCCTCCTGCTGGTCCTCCTAGTCAACCTCCTCCTTCTTCTCCCCCTCCTCCCCCTCCTCCTCCTCCCCTCCTCCTCCTCCTCCAGATGAAACTCCTCCTCCTCCTCCTCCTCCTCCCTCCTCCTCCTCCTCCTCCTCCTCCTCCACGTCATCCTCCTCCGCCTCCTCCGATGCCCACCTTGCTGACCTCGATAAGGACGAACAGGAGCACGGCGAAACACATCGACACCGCAAGCCGAGCCGGCGGCAGGGGCAGCAGGCCACTGAGCCCTGCGGAGGGGGGATCCTCCTCCTACCCCTCCTCTTCCTCTTTCTATTCCTCCTCATCCTCCTCATCCTCGCCTTCGTCCTCGTCCTCCTCCTCCTCCTCCTCGTCCTCGTCTTCCCCTCCTCCTCCTCCTCATCCTCCTCCTCGTCCTCGTCCTCTTTCTCGCCTCTTCCCTCCCTCTTTCTTTTCTTTCCATTGGCCTAGATCAGAATCCTGATGGCCAGTTGCCTATCCTGTAAGTGAGTTCCTCCACAGCTTTCGCGGCTTCCTCTAAGGCGAACGCCTCGGCTGTAAAGGAAGAAATGGGGTCACGGATAAACGTCCCTGCAATGATGATCAGAGTCGCGATTTCTATCAAACCACGGCGCGTGACAGCCCCGACGCACCATGCGGCTGCAGAACACGATGCCGCTCGAGTACCGCCATCGCTGTGGATCAGAAAATTGGCCCCGCTCAGATCTTTTGATTCAGCGCGGAAGCGGTGATACCACGATTTCTTTCCATCCATGTGTGATTTATCAAGAAATCTGTTTTGATATTCCAGCCACGTCTGTGCCAAACAACCATGGTGTCCGCATCGTGCGCTGGCCCCCATCCGTATCCGATTACGTTGAATATGCTCGGGGTAATGCGATCAAACACCGGTCCGAGGGAAGGTGCTGCCAGCACGGTGGCTCCATTGACCACTCGGGCGAGAGGCTTGCAATCGGTAATGAAGAGTATGCGCCCGGCCATGCCACCCCAGTGCACGTCTGGTGCGTTATCGCCCGAAGGCTGGGCAGAGGGCCATCCACTCAGCTTCACGCGAGCATTTGTTTCGGCGAGCCCGCCAAGCAACGAAAATATCCTCCCATTCTATCTGGTACCCCATCCCAGAATGCACAATGCCTTCCTTCCGCCTTTTCCTCTCGCTGCCCATCACCTTTGCGGTCTCCCACCAGTCACGAATGCGATATTGTCGCGCCAAATGCAAACAATCTCTCTCGCCACGTAGCGGCGTGCATCTCTCACGCCGTGAATTTCCTAAGACTTCCCCGAGCACCCGACAATGTAGCGGTCAGATTTTGGTCTGCTCGAAGCTCGACTCAATCATACGAGCGGTGCGCATCATGTGTTGTGCATGCCCTTCCCTGTTTTCCGCCGGAAGCCTAACACCTTGCGCAATATGCTAAACTTCCACCTCTTAACCTTCCTCAGAACGTGTTGGGTAAGATGCCACGTGGACGATCCGTGAGCTACACCAGCAGCTGGACCCCCCGACCAGGCCCGAAGTTTCGAAGTAGTAGTCCCTGGACCTCGGATTCTGTGGGCATTGCTCCAAAACTTGCGATCGCCTCTTCCGATGCTGTGGTCTTCGGACGCGTTCGTGTCCCCCTCCCTGCTGAGCAACGCCCCTGAATCCGACAAAGAGTGAACGATCTTGAGGGAGTGCGCCGCTGCTCCCATCACAGTAGGCGGATTGCCAAGGTCGGTCGCCGCGGGCTGGCAAAACATGCACTCCAGCGAAGCCGCCTTCCATGAGAAGTGGACCTCCCCGATCGTTTCCGTCAACCCTTGGACCATTATCGTGGACTCCTCTGCGCTAGGTGCTAAACAAAAAATAAGTGGTCGGACCAGATCAAAGTGGTGATGCGCTCGTCGCCGTCCCCGTTGAGAGGCGAACCATTTTCCCGCTCCTTTCCAGGTCGAACCTGTCGCAGGAATCCATGCCAAGCAGTGTGACATTGCATGTCATGCCAGACGCCTCGCGTAAAGTGCCGCCACCACCGAAGAATGCATACCTCGAGCCAGGAATGCGTTGACCATCAACTTGTGGTGCATAGTGTCGAAAACCGCCTCGATATCCATAGCTCCGTGTATAAGATGTATCCCCCAAAGGTTCGTCACAATAAGATACACTGATGAAAAATGCAAACAACGTCGTCGCAATAATGTCCTGGCCGAAACCCGAACGTAGCGACCACGCTAGGAGATGCAGATGGTTGCGTGGTGCTCAAGATATTCAAACATACTACTTCGCGCACGCATCCAGTTTCCCTACCCACCGGAATTCAGGAAGAGTAGACCGCTGTGGCACTTTAGGTCTAACCTTCAGGTCGATGAGTTTCTAGCTGTCTGGGTCATGGGACCAAGGGTCGCTTGGTCTATCATTGAACAGCTGCCAGAACTCCTTGACACATAAAGTGGGCAACGTCTTATGTATCTGAGGAAGAGCCCCGTGGTTTCCAGCCACCTTGCCGACCTTCAGCTTCGCCCTGCCGTGGACGACATTCCAAGGCTGCAGCGCGGGGCCTCCAGACCCGTCGAGTCGCGCGTTTCGCGCCGCACTCTGCAATGCGCGCATGCGAATCGCCTGAATTGCGTGCGTGCTCCCCGCGTCGTCGTGCCGGGCACGGCCGGGATCATGGGCCGCCTTCCGCCAGACCTGTCTGTCGTCTGTCCGCGGTGGCGGCCACATCGATTGTGAGGGTGGACGGCGTTCGGAAAGGAGACCTCTCCAAACCGATCGTGTCCAAGCGAATGTTGTTTTTCGTGCGTCTGGCCTTGCGGATGGCCCGCCACAGCTCCCAGGCCAAATGCAATTTCGTGTCCAGAATTGCCGCTGCCACTGCCCGTCTTGCCGCCTGGACTGGGCTATTTTATTGCTGCCGGCGCCGTCGTAGCCAGCCCCGCGCCGTAGCAAAATCACCCGGAGAAGAAACTGCCCATCCAAATATCGAGGCCGGACTAATTACCTGGGCGCTTCCCTGGCTTGGACAAGACAGATGGGTGAACAAGGGTCGATGATCAAAACGATTAAACGTTAACTTGTACCGTACTTTTTGCGACTAGGATTCCCGGAGGATGCCCGCGGACACTCCGATCTAATCCATATGCGATGTTGGTCTGTTCTCGGGACCCCCCCACCCGACAATTTCTAGCCCAGAACCGACCCTGCCGCCAGCCTGGTCGGACTCCCGCACCGTCCTTTGATCTTGGGACTCCCCACCCGACAATTTCTAGCCCAGAACCGACCTGGTCCGACCCCCGCACCATCGTGGGAGCTCTGTTCTTGGGGCTCCCCCTACCCGACAATTTCTGGCCCGGAACCGACCCTGCCGCCCACCTGGTCGGACTCCCGCATTGTCCTAGGAGCCCTT